TGATGTGGAAAATCAATGTACTGACACAGATCTATACAGTTTATATGATTTTGAGGTATTCACTAAATTGAAGTGATCACTAATATGACCGGTAGATAATATCTGACATTTCATCATTCAACAATCACTCAGTTAGCAAACTGCAGATTCCAGTACATGTCGATTTTATTTCTCCAAAACAATTTATCACATACTAACATGTATTCACAAAACAATATCACGCAAATCATTACACAACCTTTATTTACACTGCTACACAACATGAGATATTTCAAGTATCATTGACTTGATGTGTTATTTTGTTCCTTTTGAAAATGAGTTTCTAAGTCAGTTCATTTTACCATTCAAATTAATTAATTATCTTTCTATCCAATCATTCAATATATTTCTTTGCATCAAAGTCTTTTAAAACATAAATCAATCGAATTACTGTCACGCACATATATGTATATATACCAACTTTCAGATCACATCACATTCATTCTTTCCTTCATTCTATTTTTTTTAATCATTCTTTAGATGCTTTTCGTTGAATAAAAAGAAAAAAATTTTAAAAAATATGACCTTAGCAAAGTATATAATAGAAATCATGAAAAGGCTTGGATTTGATTTATGAAATAGTTTTTTTGAAATAAATTAAAACAATAAATTATTTATAGAAACATGATTGGCTAAAGATTGTTGATAATTATGGAAATAATTCTACCAATCATTTTAAATGAAAACCAAAGTTTCGCATGGTTGTGTTCTTTAGGTTGTGAAGCTTCTATTATTATTATTATTATTATTATTATTATTATTATTATTATTATTATTATTATTATTCTAGATAGCATCATAAGTATACATTTCGACAAAAAATGTCACCCAAATAAGTTATAAATATTCTCCATATCTGTTTCATTATTTTATTAAAAAGAGCTTATTATCATTGATTCAAAATGATATATAATATTTGGATTAGACAAATTTTCTCTTACCACTTAAACTTTATAGTTTAGGTCATAAACTGATCTTAGATAACTATTAAAAGTTAAAATTCACTAGAAAACCGTTTTACAGTATTATGGGATTTCCAAGCATTGCACATTCGTCACTCTATTACAAGGAACCGAACCTATGAACTTGGGTCTCGCGAATGAATGCCTAATCTCAAGATCATGGAATCGTTATACAATGGTTTACATGTCTAATTTCAATCAATTCACAATATTGCATGGCCAATTTTTATTGTGTGTGAGGAATAAATGTCTCACATTCAACATAATTATTTTCCACTTATTGAGACTTCTCACTAGAACCCCAGGAGTTGTATTTTAAAGCTAGTCACTCTGTGAAAGGACATGATTATTATAAATTTAGGATTGCTCATTATCTTAAACTGAATGGACATTGACTCACTACTTTTACTCGACATCTCAATGGTTTAGAAGCTAAGTTTTCCCCTGAGAAACCAAAGGTCCTGGGCTCGATCCTCGAATGCGAAAATGTGAGTGCTTACTACTGAATAGTCCCATACTAGGACGAAACAGCTGTTCAGTGCTTTTTGGTTTTTATTACATGGAAATTCTACAATTTCCAAAAAATGCTTTGTTGATTTATATTTTACACTTTAACCTGAATATTTATAGCTTCATACATTTTTTAATCGTCATAAGTAGTGAATGTTTTGTAGTGATAAAATACGTATTCATTGCTTCGTGGAGTATGAATGATAACTATACTCAAGACAGTTCAGTCACTTAACTTCATACCGATGATTAATTAAGTGAAAATAAAACTGATTAGTGAGTAATTCATAAGTTTACTACTTAACCAGTAAACAATGTAAATATTGTTTGTAAAAGGATTTCAAGTGGAATCATAATTACAGTGTGTCTAAGCTGTAATTATTAAGTATAAATAAATTTATTCTCTAGATAACAATCTTTTTTCTTCACTTCCTGTTTTACGTTTAAACCTTATAATAAACTAGACAATTGTCACTATTTTTTCCCGAGACTTAAAACTCCTTGATTGAATTATTGGAACTATGTGACTTTATCTAATATCTTACGATTGTATACTGTGTCAGATTTTAATTAAAACAATAGGAAGAGATTTCTATATTGACAAATTGTTAAATTTCATTATGAATTCCTAAATTGATTCTTAAAATGATTGTCTAGTTTATTTAACCATATACATTGATATATATATATATATATATATATATTTAATGGTTGAATTGATGAGACATTTGAAGCTAGACCATCATAGAAAACCTGGAAGCACCGAGTGGTCGTCTCATCCTAGTATGGGACTCATCACAAGTTCGCATCCACGATCCCACCTCGCGAGATTCGAACCTAAGACCTATCAGTCTCACGCGCGAACGCTTAACTTCTAAACCACTGAGCCGTCATCCAACAGTGTTAATGTCTAACTTCAACCAATCCACAAAATTGTACCACCGTCCAGCATTGTCATCAGTGATTTACTATCTCACGATAGACACGGTTGAACTCCACTGGTCACTGCTTCTCACTAGAACTCCAGGAAATAACTCTTGGAGACAGTTACTAATGAGCATATGATGATTATAATCAGAGAAGGATCTCATGAATATTGTAGTAATTAAATAATTGAATTCATGAGTCAATAAACTGATATCTATCAATCAATCTATTTATGAATTGAATATTGAATGAAATTGTATATAATCATAAGTAAAAATTTAAAGTCATTTTAAGTTATTCATTAACATTTCACTGTGTTTTTAAAGAAACTCCTTTTTTAAATAATAATTAAAAACATTAATCCATTCATGATTTCGATCTAAATTTAATTAGAGTAAATGTGTTTCTATCTTTTATGCTTTAAAAGTACAATACAATAAATTTAACTAAACCTAAAGACAATTTGAACCTCAACGGAATTCATGTGTCTTAGATATTTTATTGTTATATGGAAACATCCAAAACACACACAAAAAAAGAAAAAAAAAGGAAGAACGGAAGTTAGAAAAAGAGGAGTGAAGAGAACTGGTACAAAAAGAACAATAACTCACAAAACAATAAAAAATAAACGAAATAAAGAATCCAAGATATATATATATATATATATATATATATATATATATATATATATATATATATATATATATACAAGCGATTTGTTATATAACGATGAAAAATAATAAATAATTCCCAGTTGATAATGATAATGAGAACGAGTACAATTATTCGTGGTTGTAAATAGGTTCGTGCGCACACACACATACGCACACGCACAAAAGAATGTGTAATAACACATATTGAAAAACTCTTACTACTCACTAGTAAACAGTTGAAACAAAAATGTTTAGTAAATCTCAAATAAGCATAAAACACACACATAGTAACTGAGAAGTACAATACAACGTAATATTTTGCATCTAGATGAGAAAACAAAAATGATTTGAAAATTTTCGATCTTTTATTTATTTTGTTTTAATGAATGCTTCATTAATAGTTGTAGTTTTTTTCATAATTTGTTTTCCCTTGTAAAAGAAAGTACATCTTTCTTGAGCATGTACTTATGTCTATTGTTATCAACATTTAATGAAGTAATATGTTTTTTGAGGGGAGGAATGTTATTGAAACATCATTTGTTTTAAGTAATATGTTCATAATCTATCTTAATAGTTGAATTCATGTGTCAATTGAAGCTAGACCATCATAGAAACCCTGGAAGCACTAGATGGCCGTTTCATCCTAGTATGAGATTCTTCAGCAGTGCGCATCCACGATCCCACCTCGCGAGATTCGAAGCGCTAGCGCTTTATCTTTGAATCACTGAGCTGGCATCCGATGGTTTTAACTTCAAATCAACTATTAAAATAACTATAATATCCACCAAACCCCTCTCTGATTATAATCTGTCTTTTTTTAAATTAGGTTTAATTTAAAGTATTTTTAATAAGGTAATATAATTTGTTCACTGATAACTTATTTCGAGACAAGTTTTTGAAGTTCTTTTGAAAAATTATGATAAATGGAGTTCAACAAAATTGATAATGAAGTAGTTGCTACCAATAATATTTTATGATCATTGTGTTATATCATGAATTGATTAAGAAAAATTTTTATCATTATGCATTATTGTATTGTCTAATGGTAAAGCATTCACAATCAAACACAAAGGCTCTGAGACCGTGGGTGAGCTTTCCTAATTAATCATGCACTGGTTTAAAATAGCTCTCCAGTGGTCCATGGTTATGAATAATGATCAAAAGAAAATCAATCCATAATAAATAACACTGAACGACTCAAAACTAAATAATTACAATGTTTCATCTAATAATTTGCCTGGAATCCTTGTTTAGGACTACTCGAAAATGCATCCTCACAATCCCAAATGAAATCAAAATTGAGATAATCTTAATTCAAAGTTAATACAAAACAGTTCATATCTATTGGTTTTCATTGTAAACTGTAATGAATTTGTGATATGACATAAATCTCATCTAACATTATTCATTTCATTTCAGATATTATTGAAATTTCAATATTTTATCTTAGAGTTGATGATTGGTAAGCATAAGATTAGTACTAATCTAAGATTTGGAACCACTGACTTAATGTTATTATATTTACTATCAGATTTCAGGCTACTATGTTCAATTAAATGTGTATGATTATAGGTGAATACCAGATTAGATCTCCTAAACCGGAACAAAACAACTGACCAATTATACAATTAACATCTCTTTGTGATGATGACCAGGATCACACTGATATATCTCTACAAACAAGTTCCTTATCTTAATGAACGTTTTAATATTACAAGCAAGGGGTGGTAGAAGTAGTGGTGTGAGTGGTAATAATAATAATAATAATAGAAAAATATGTATATTTCAACTATTTAGGAAGTACAGATTTAAATTACTATTAACAGATATAACACGAGGGAAATTTCACTACGCAATATTACAATTAAAATTCATTTCTAATCCCTTTAAACTTTATCTTTTTTTCTAGGTAAACCAATTCAATGTTGGGTACCACAAGAATTTACCAAATCATGGGAAGAATATGCTGAAAATTTATGTTGGGTATCAAACACATATTTTTTATTACCTAATGAAGAAATACCAACAGACCAAGTAGATTATGAAAAAGTGAAGTTTATCGGTTATTATCAATGGGTTGCAATAGTTTTAGCTGGTCAAGCCATGATGTCATGGGTTCCACATTTATTATGGCGTGTTGGTTCAAGACGTTTACCATTATTATTAAAATCGGCAAGAGAAGCCGCTATACCAGATCGTGAATTACGTCTAAAAGCAGTATCATGTTTAGTAGCTACATTAGAAGAACAAGCTGAATCTCAATCAAGATTTCGACGAATTAAATCATTATTAACTCGTTGTTTATGTGGTGTTACACCAAATGCACGTTTAACTATGTTATTTTTATTTGTAAGAGCATTATTTGTAGCTAATTCAGTTGGACAAATTTATTTAATGAAACGTTTTACCGGTTTTAATAGTACCGTATTTGGATTAAGATTATTACAAGATTTATCAGCTGGTGTTGAATGGGAACGAACTGGACATTTTCCCCGTGTTACATATTGTACTATAAAAGTTCGTAAAATGGGTCAAACCAAACCAGCAAGGTAAGTTATATGTCTATATATTTTATTACTTTAAAAATTGATTCTAGTTTTATGCATAAATAGATGATATATCAGGGTTTTTTTGTTTATTATTAAATATCAAGATTTTTCATTGCATTTTTATAAGAATATATCTCTAGTATCTATCGTAATCTAAAGCTATGTATGAATGAATACATAATAGGCAGATTTATTAAAAGAGATTCTGATAGCTACCATAAAATTCTAGGTAGTTTAAGACAGTCTGAAGGTTCATTTTTTCATTATAAAAAACAAACAAACTAGAATCGGTCTTATTAATGATCTTGACTTGAAAATTATCATACTGTCTATAAAACTTCTTGTTGAACTAAAGATAAATAAGAATCATACATCTGAAGATAATTCATTTAGGGAAAAATAAAGAAGAATTAAAACTCCAATCTTCATTCCATAATTTGACAGTTTTAGACATAAAGTATCGATATTTTTATGAAACAACACGATCTCATAGTTACTGTTTACTTAATTACTTAACATATTCAAAATTTACTTTATAACTTTTTGGTATGACAATTACAAAATTTTGTTCTAGAAAGTTTTCCTTTACTTAGAATTGTCAGATTAATCTTGTATTCTTTTCAACTATCATATACTGTTTGTTGCTATCTGAATAAGTCAACTTATTATTTTTTTGTCGATCCAAAAATCTTCAGTAATTTTGCTCTAACGATCTTTTAATGTTTTAATTTTTATTTTGCAAATTGTAATTAATCGATAACTGTTTTTTTCAAGTTCCCTATTGATCATCATATCTAGGTAAATCATTATATATTTACGATTCTATTATCTGATAGGACTAATATAGTTTTTGTTTTGTTTGGATTTTCTTTTCTTTCTTTCTTTGAATACTTAATCTAATCAGTATTATGCAATCCATTCTTAACATCTTTGAATTCTATAATTACTCTTTTTGACCTCTCTCTCTCTCCAAAGATCCAACAAGGAAAATTGGTTAGAAATGGGAAAATCATTTTTTTAAATTATTCATAGGATCAATAATACTTCTGAAAACATAAATGTATATATATGTTTATCTTTCATATAAAACATTTTTGTAGGTGTGAGGAGATTTAAGTTGTATAGTGATTATTCCATAAATTATAAGTTGTAATTAGACATAGAAAAAGAATATTCTTACCAATAATTAATTAAGGGAATAGTTTCTTATCATTTTTTTGTTTCATATTTAATTATAACTAAGATGAAAGCTTACAAGTAAACTACTTCAAGACCAACATGACAAATGAATGATTAGAAGGTAGGGGAAAAATATGTGCAGTATACATTCATATAATATATGTTTACATTTAGACTTTAGTATATTTCATTCTGAATAAAGAATATTGCCTTTAATGAATGATTAAATCGCCAAGACATATTTAATTATTCATGAAATCTATGGAAGATTATATTATAAAATAAAAGTATTGTTACGAGTTCATAATGTATAAATGAAATTTTGAAGAATAAATGTGTAGATATAGGATATTGATATCTAAGTGTGTGGTCGGTACAAAGTTGTATTATAGTGAACGAGAACACCAGTGAGCACAACTAGGATGTATTTTAATATAAAGTTACAGAATAACTTTGTAAAATCTGAGAACTATGCAGCAAATACTTCATTTGCAAGTTGTCTACTAATTATCTCAGGCTTTACCGTTGCTTCGTTTCTTGTTCTCTTCTGTTCGATCATTTCAACTTTCTTCTATTAGGCATTCCATTTTCAATTGGTGATACATACTACTTATATCTGTCGATATCAGTAGCACACACTACAGTATCATTTCAAACTAAAGTAAACTAAAGAAAATCGTTTTCTTAATATTAGAAAAACAAAATTAAACTAATTGAATCTTGCTCTAATCAATTAGTTGTGACATGCATGGATTGTGTAACAGGTTACCAAAACAAAATTTGAATCTAGTCCATGAAATTATCGACTGTCATACTGAATAATGTAGGTAAATCCAAAGTAATCACTCAGTGGCCAAATGTGACCAAATGTCAGAGATTTCGGATGACAATGGGCAGATAATTCCACTCTTTATCTTTCCTTTAGATTATAACCTTCTTGATCATCTAGAAATAATTTTTTTATTTAACAAATGTTTATTTTTCAAGTTGTGTATGACTAACTAATGAATGATGAACATCGGCTCACTGATCTAGAGGTTAAGTGTCTGCATGTGAGACCGATAGGTCCTGGGTTCGAATCTCTCGGGTCGGGATCGTGGATGAACACTGCTAAGGAGTCTCGTACTAGGACGAAACGGTCGTTCAGTGCTTTAAGATTTTCCATGATGGTCTAGTTTCAATTGACTCATGAACTCAACTATTAAATTACTATAATATCCACAAAACCACTTTCTGATAATAATGAATGAGTGGATAAATATTTAAATGGACTATGGAAATCGACAAAATATTATAATCCGTTATTTATTTGTTTTTTGTTATTAGCTAATATTTGTGCAATAAAATTTAGTCTAAAATTCTGAAAGAAAATAAAGATGATATTTTACCATAGTTACAAGTATTCACATCAAAAGTGTATGATTCTAAGGTACAATTCTATAAGTTTCCATCTATTTTCACAATCTTTGAGTGTAAAATAAATTTATTATTTTTTGTGAAAATTTTATTTGAAATAATCTTAGAGATTGAAATCTGAATAATTCCGTTTTAGTGTCCATGTAGATCCTATGAATGATTGTTCTTGAAATATGTCGCCTATCCTCGTATATAATCATTGACTTAAATCGCGTTAGTCAATAACGGAATTAAATAAATCAAATAACGAGAAAGAACTTTTCAACAAATAAATTTTGTATATGAAGCGAATTGAATAGAGTAAAGCGAAACGATGGATAGTGGAGATGTTGGGTAAGCCAACTTCATTTAGTCAAGCGTCAACCAATATTTATAGTCACACAAAGATAATTTGCAGACATGTGATGAATAGGATAAGAAATATACACACATATGCGGTCATATGAAAACAGTCAAGTTTGATAAGTGAATAATTAACTAGGTCAAAATATGACTTATATTTGGCACTCAATTCTTGTGAAACTATTCATTCTAATACTGCAGAATATTCGTATGAAATTATTCACCTTACTGTAAAGATGCTCTTAAATCATGAGACAATCAGTTAGATAAGAAATGAAATAAGATATTTAATACATTATGGTTTGACTATAAAATTGACAAATTAATTGTATTAAATTGTTATTTTATTGACTATACAGTATTCTATTCATTGAAGTCATCTTGATTTCTTGGATCTTTGACTAAATAAACTTATTGATTAATATTATAATGACATTAAAGCAGTCCACTGTGACGCATAATAAAAAATCAACATTCAGCTTAGAGACTGTGACATCACTAGAAAAATAATCCCTTGAACTCTATTATCATTAAAGTTTCATGGGTAAAGTAAAACGACCTATCAACGACTTTCAACGATTTTTTATATATATATATATGACCCACTTGAGTTAGGAAAAATTTATCAACTCTATCTTAGATTATATACAAGAATAGTACAAAACTAGATAATATAAGTTATATTTTCATTACTTCAAAAGGTCATTAATTTTTCTTGTTATATATCTTTATAACAAACAAAGGATGGGTGGGGGGAATATATTTCAAGGTCATTCGGAGAAATGAAGCAACAACAACAAAAAAGATATGGTTAGCTGAAAGATAGGCTAAATATGATGATAGCAATTCATTTAAAAAATGTTTACCTTAAATGTAATTTTTGTAAAAGAAAAATAAAAACTATTTTAATCAAATTGATTGAATTTACAAAAAATAAATAAAAATTTTTTTTAAAAAAAGAAAACTTCACAAAAATAAAAATTACTAAATAAAAATATTCTATATAATTCTTAAAATTATGGATGAATAAATGATCAAAATCTTTTTTTATTACTATTATTCAATATTGACAATGAAAGTTGATTATAAAGTACAATATAAAAGTTTAAGATGAAATTATTTTGTTTGTTGTTTTTAGCTACCGTTTTGATTGCACATTTATATATTCATTTATATTAACACATACATACAAATTATGTTATAAGATATATATATATATATATATATATATATATATATATATATATAGAGAGAGAGAGAGAGAGAGAGAGAGAAATGGATAGATATTAAATGAAATAAAATTCAAGATTATATCTTTCTAATGAAGCAGAATAGGAGACCTATTTCTATCATTAACCTTGGAAGTGTAACGTTTGTAAAATTGCGAATTTGATACAAATTCAAGATATATATATATATATATATATATATATATATATATATATAAATGGGAGAGTTAAATGGAATAACAGCTGATCTCAAACCTGTACTTTTCTCATCAAGTAATTTTAAGGACCATGGAGGTCATATTATTTCTGTTTTTATTTTATCAATAAAATTTAAGGAACGATGATAACAAAAAAAATAGAATGAAGGAAAGAATGAATGTGATGTGATCTGAAAGTTGGTATATATACATATATGTGCGTGACAGTAATTCGATTGATTTATGTTTTAAAAGACTTTGATGCAAAGAAATATATTGAATGATTGGATAGAAAGATAATTAATTAATTTGAATGGTAAAATGAACTGACTTAGAAACTCATTTTCAAAAGGAACAAAATAACACATCAAGTCAATGATACTTGAAATATCTCATGTTGTGTAGCAGTGTAAATAAAGGTTGTGTAATGATTTGCGTGATATTGTTTTGTGAATACATGTTAGTATGTGATAAATTGTTTTGGAGAAATAAAATCGACATGTACTGGAATCTGCAGTTTGCTAACTGAGTGATTGTTGAATGATGAAATGTCAGATATTATCTACCGGTCATATTAGTGATCACTTCAATTTAGTGAATACCTCAAAATCATATAAACTGTATAGATCTGTGTCAG